AGCCATATGCATTTATTTTCGATCATTTTATATTACAGAAAAAAGAATGTAAAGAGGAAAGAAGGTTTGCTTTGCTTTGCTTTACGGCATATCAACCTCAGTGTGTTATTTAATGCCGACAAGATTTTTATTGCCGCTAATATTTTTTTTCCAAAAATGTATTGTTGGTAATTTTTTTTTTCAAAAATGTATTGCTGGCAATTTTTTTTTACCAAAATGTATTGCTGGTAATATTTTTTTTTAAAAATGTATTGCTGACAATTTTTTTTTTCAAAAAATGTATTGCTGGTAATATTTTTTTTTTAAAATGTATTGCTGACAATTTTTTTTTTCAAAAATGTATTGCTAGTAATATTTTTTTAAAAAATGTATTGCTGGCAATTTTTTTTTCCAAAAATGTATTGCAGGTAATATTTTTAAAAAAAAATGTATTGCTGGTAATATGTTTTTTTTTTTTAAATGTATTGCTGGTAATATTTTTTCCAAAAATGTATTGCTAGCAATTTCTTTTTTTCAAAAATGTACTGCTGGTAATATTTTTTTTAAAATTGTATTGCTGGTAATATTTTTACCAAAAATGTATTGTGGTAATATTTTTTTTCAAAAATGTATTGCTGGTAATATTTTCTTTCCAAAACTGTATTGGTTTAAATTTTTTACCAAAAATATACTGCTGGTTATATTTTTTTTCAAAAATCTATTATTAGTGATATTTTTCTTTTACAAAATTTTACTGTTGGTAATAATTTTCCAAAAAAGTATTGCTGATATTAAAACCTATTTTTATACTTTCATAGTGTTTTGACTCCTTTTGGAGGGGTAACTATTTGCCCATAGCTGAGATCCTGACAGGTGCTACCACACCGGGTCAGGGAGGACCTGGAAACACCAGTAATTAAGAAGTGGTTCCATGCTATTCAAAACCTCCTGATCAAAGGCCTTGCTGTCAGATGTAGTTGAAAGATAAAAGAATTCCCGTTATCAATGTAGGTGACTGAAGACTCTTAGTCGTCGAATCAATACATATAAATAGAAAGTTATGACTGAAACTGATTTCATTTTGATACGATGAAATCATTTTGGTATGCCAGTATCATCTAGACGAGGGTTTGGCAACCTTTTGCTAAGTGCAGAATTAGGGTTTTAAAATCATTCAGTGTGCCAACAGCATACGTATTTTTATACAAGTCAAGGTCAATATACCTGTGCTACAATAGATTTTATATAGTAATATATAGTATATATACTTTAGTATATATTAAAATTGAAACAGCTAAATATCAACTGTTGTAGTAGTTTTCCAAGCGTAGCTTGGATGTCATTTGCGGCCGAAATACAGGGCACCAAAATGGATCGAACTCACTACCCAGTCGTAATTGTTGTAGTGAGACATGCTTGCTAACCATTACGCTTGTCTCGCTACAACAATTTATGATTAAAGTTCGATCATCGCCTGATTGCCATTACTATACCTTGTTTATACATCAAGCTACGCTTGGAAAATCATTATCAACTTTGCGTTGTAGTTATTGATTCGGACTTCGTGATGTCATTTGCGGCTGCGTGCCATTGGAAATTGCTTGGCGTGCCACATGTTGTCAACCTCAGGTTTAACCGACTTTCACACGCCCCCACCCACTAGCTATGCTAATTGTAATGAGTGAACAATAGAAAAAAGGTTCAAGGAGAGAGAGAGAGAAAATCAGATTTTTTCTTCCTCATGGTTAGTCTTTTACTTATAAAGTACTCCTCGATACGGAATTTGTCGACAAATTTTGCTATGTACCGACTTAGGGTTTTAAAATCAAACAGCATACGTATTTTTATACAACTCAAGGTCAATATACCTGTTCTACAATAGATTTTATACAGTAATATATCTCTATCTATAAAAGGCAGGATATGTGTGTGTGGGAGGGGGGTGACGTATGCACGGCCGCAAATTTCGACGGATTTACACCAAAATTTACATGCACATGCTCCAAGTCAGCGGGAAGGCAAAGACCGACTTTGCATTTCCCAACTTCCATCGATAGTGAAAATAATCGATTTTTTTCATGCTTCTACGGCAGTTTTCCTGTAGTTTGCGGCCATTATGTACTGACCAGAGTGAGAGCCAATAGCTGGCTGCCACGAAAAGGCAGGAAAATACTATTGGCCAGCGTAAGAGCCAACAGCTGACTGACACGAATGTTAACTAGCATGCAAAAAAATCGATAGCTGCATTCGTCACAAGTGGGAAAAATTTAAATCTGCATGGCACTTTACTCCAATTGGCTCATTCGCTTGCTTAAACTCAACGTTGATTCTGATTCCGCAGAACTGGGTTGGATGTGAAAAAGTATTTGTTGTTAACATTCTTTTTTTCATTCGGTTTTTCCAGTTACGAGTCCTTTTTTAAAGCTGATCTTTTTGTGTTCATTTTGTTTAGTTCTTTTTTCGTAACAGATTTAATGTTTAGTATAGAGCTTAGAAAAAAAAAATTTGCAGTGTGAGATAGGCAAGAAGTAAGGCATGTAGCAACATCAGCACGGCAAAGGGAACTCCTTTAAAAAAAAAGCAAGGAAGGGCAAAAATATTTTAAGTCAAGTGATGCTGTATGAGTCGTACGATTTTTGAATACAAGAACGGGCAACGCCGGGCCATGCTGCTAGTAGTATATATACTTTAGTATATATTAAAATTGAAACAGCTAAATATCTTCATTGTGTTGTAGGAGTTATTGGTTCGGATTTCGTGATGTCATTTGGGGCTGCGTGCCATTGGAAATTGCTTGGCCTGCCACGTGTAGCACGCGTGCCGTAGGCTGCCGACCCCTGATCTAGACTTGCTGTCTCCTAGCGATATAAATTATTCAATTGTTATGCACAGAAGAGAAAATTTTCTCATTTGTTTCGGCGATTTTCGAGAGACCTTCATCTCCTCCTATGATGGAGGAGAATGATACTGATCAATAATGATTACAGATTTATGTGCATTTTGTGCATTTTGAAGGGTTCTGTATGCGCTTCTGTTAGTGTTTTCCCTGCATCAATGACAATATCACAGTCCCTAGTCGGAGGATTCTCATAAATAAAGCGAAAGCTGCCAAGTCATTTCAACGGTTCAGTAAGTTCCGAAAAGACTTAGTCTTTCCTTTTTCCTTATATGAAACCGAGGCAACTTTGTGCCTGATATGAAGTAAATTTGGAGGAAAACTCCCAATATGACGAGAAATCTTTCCTTGAGTTTTGAAAGTATTTCTGTTGAAGACTTCACGATCGTTTACTTGGCTGTTAGTGTCAAAGAATATAGCTATTATAATTACACGTAACTGTAAGCAATGAATTAAAAATTAGTAAAAATGAAAGACTTTGCTTTAAGTTCCTTCATTTTTGCTAATTAACAAACATTTTTAAATGCTAAAAAACAACCACTTTATATCAGAGAAATCTTATAAAAATTTCTCACTTCAGATGATCTTGACTCCTTCGGAATTTTACATATAAATTCCAGCTTCTTGGTCCTAAAGCATACTGTCATAGGAAATTCGTAGTTCGCGAATTAAATAAAATTAAATTCGGTGGGCGGGGAGGGTGAAATATAATCAAATAGGATAATGTGTGTGTGTTTGTATATATGCACCTTGATACGACTTGAAGAAAATCAGTATGTGATGTAAAACACCTAAATTTTAATCCTGTTCTAATAAACCCTCCCTATCACTATTCTATTATAATAAACTCTCCATATCATCATTCTATTATAATAAACCCACCCTATCATCATTCTATTATAATAAACCCTCCCTATAATCATTCTATTATAATAAATCCTCCCTATCATTTTCTATTATAATAAACTCTCTCTATCATTATTCTACTATAATAAAGCTTCTCTATCGTTATTCTATTATAATAAACCCTCCCTATTATGATTCTATTATAATAAACCCTCCCTATTATGATTCTATTATAATAAACCCTCCCTATCATTATTCCATTATAATAAACCCTCTCTATCATTATTCTATTATAATAAACCCTCCCTATTATGATTCTATTATAATAAACCCTCCCTATTATGATTCTATTATAATAAACCTTCCCTATCATTATTCCATTATAATAAACCCTCTCTATCATTATTCTATTATAATAAACCCTCCCTATCATCATTCTATTATAATAAATCTTCCCTATCATTATTTCATTATAATAAACCCTCTCTATCATTATTCTATTATAATAAACCCTCCCTATCATTCACGAGCCGAATACTTGGAATGAATTGTAATATGAAAATGAATATTTGCAGATGTTAAAAAACTTAAATATTTTCTCTCTGAAAACATTTTACTCATTGTAACTTTGTGTATATATATATATATATATATATATATATATATGTGTGTGTGTGTGTGTGTGTGTGTGTGCCATGAGAAACATGCTATTATTATAATTGTTATAATTATTTTTCTGCTATTAAAACAGGCCATTATTTTAATCATTATAATTATTTCTCTGCCATTAAAAACAGGCCATTATTTTAATCATTATAATTATTTATCTGCTATTAAAAATTGGCCATTATATTAATTATTATAATTAAAAATATGCCATTATTTTCATGTAAGGACTTCTTCCAGAAATTTATTTCACTTTAAGAAAGTTAAAACAAAACAAACAGCTGTTGAAAAAAAAAACTTAAATCCGATTGTTTAAGTGATTAATTCAATTATTAATTATTAATGTTTTTATAAACTATTAAATAACTTTCTAAGAGGAAATAAATCCGCGAAAAACGTAATGTTTCGACTATTAATGTAAAGTAAGTAAAAAAATCCAATTATTGTCTCATATGAACTTCTTAAATGTCTTTAAGAAACTTTTTGCATCATTCTTTTTATTAATTTTTCCTAATTTCTGATGATTTCTTGACTGTTTTGCCCATTTTATTTTTTCATTTTATTTTCAGGTTTTTTGTCTTCGGCTAATTCCATAATTCCGGGGAATTATGGGATGCTTGACCAAATTGCCGCCTTCCGATGGGTAAAAGAGAATATCATTCATTTCGGGGGTGACCCAGATCATATTACAATCGATGGACACAGTGCCGGAGGTGCAAGTGTCGGACTACACTTAGTTTCCCCTTTAGCCAAAGGTGAGTAACAGATTTCTAGATGGAAAAGGTGATAATATATGACGTACAAAATTATGACACGTGACATTCGTCCAATTTCTGTTACTGACTCGACTGATTAATATTAGTATTTCGCTCCCAGAGGACAGACGAGACACAAATGAAATATCTTGAAGATTAGACACAGATAGATAAATAGATAATGAATATTCCACGAGTTGAATTTGGTTCAATCTATTCTTTCTAATGAGACTTTACTTAAACTTTATGACAAAAAGATACATTTTCATGGGCCTTGATTGCAATGATTTGATTTCTTTTACAGGACTTTTCCATCGGGTTATACAACAGAGTGGATCTCCGTTAGCTCACTGGGCAGTGAAGAAATATCCTGACAGATCTAATTTGCATTACAAGCTCTTCTTGTCCAGCCTTCGCTGTCTGCAGAATTCCACAGTGGAAATCAAAAGATGCTTGAAAAGTATTGATCCTGAAAGATTAAAAAGAATAATTTTGGCCGACCTTGAAGTAAGCACCTCTCTTCTCTCCTCTCTTTCTCTTACAATCTGTATTTCTTACATTATCTCTTTAACTCGTTTAATATATATACATGATAGTGAGAAAGAGAGCAGTGAGTGCTGGAAGGTGTAGACGAAAAGGCTAAGTGAGGATTAGAATTTAAAGTCGGTTTCGTTTGGTTTCGTTTGGAACCTATTGAGGTTTATATGCCGTAAGCATATAAACCTGAATAGGTTATTTAGTGCCGATAAGATTTTTATTGATGGTAATATTTTTTCCTCCAAAAATGTATTGCTGGTAATATTTTTTTCAAGAGTGTGTTTGCTGGTAATTTTTTTTTTTTTCAAAAAGTATTTCTGGCAATATTTTTTTTCAAAAATGTATTGTGGGCAATATTTTTTACCGAAAATATATTGCTGGTAATATTTTTTGTCAGAAATGTATTGCTGGTAATATTTTTTAAATGCGGTTCCAATTCCTTTTAACCTCCTAATCATATTGCTGGTAATTTTTCAAAATGTATTGCTGGTAATATTTTTTTTTTTCAAAAACGCGTTGGCAATTAAATTTAACAAAAACATTTATTACTGGTAATATCTTTTTTGAAAATGTATTACTGGTAATTTTTTTTTATTGAAAATATATTGCTTTAATATTTTTTCAAAAAATGTATTGCTGGTTCATTTTTTTTTTAAAAATGTATTGCTATTGTAATTTTTTTCAGAAAATGCAAAAAAATGTATTGCTGGTAATATTTTTTTTTGCAAAAATGTTTTTGTTGGTAATAATTTTTTTGAGGGAAAAAATTCATTGCTGGTACAATTTTTTTTTTTAAAATTTATTTTAATGCTGGTATTAAAAAATTTTACACTTTCAAAATTTTTGACCCCAGTTGTAATTTTATCATTAAATTATATAGAAATATGATAGTTTAAAATTATACCCTTTTTTTTTGATATATCAACATCAAAATGCGTTATTTGATAAGACAAATTTTTTTTAGTTGGTAATATTTTTTTTCTTAAAAATATTGCTGAAGATATTTTTTTTTTTTCAAAATGTATTGAAAGGTAATAATTTTTTTTTTTATTTATATAAAAATATAAAAATCATATTTTTTTTTTTTTTAAAATTAAAAATTAAAATGACTTTTTTTTTTTTTCATAGTAATTGTAACAAAAGTTTTTGAATATATTTAAAGATAGCCTTTTCAATTAAAATTTTGTTTGTTTGGTGTTTTGATTTCATTGTGGACCTAAAAAGACATACAAAAAAAATGTTGATCCAATTTCCTCAAAACCTCCTGATCAAAGATAATTGCTTAATGGGCGTATTTTATCGTCTTAAATTTTCTTTATTTTTTTATCGTCATTCCCAATAAACGTTTAAAATATCGGATTTTAATCAAAAATAATATTAAAACACATGGAAATAATTATAAAATTTGACGCTAAGAAAAACTTAAAAATGAAACCTATTTCAATGCAGTAAAAAAATAAGATTCTTTAAGAATTTAAATTTTAAAGGTACATTATTTTGAGCAAAAAAAAAAAAAAAATTTTCTCCCATTTTTTAAATCTTTAAGTAAAGACGTAAATTTATGTAAGAAATTAAAAGGAAGTTTTATATAATTATAAATATTTTAGTTTTTTTTAAAAGAAATAATTTTTTCTAATATAATGGAATATTTAAAAAAAAACATGTGTTCCCAACACTGGAATATGATTGGCTTATGTCCGTCAAAAATTCCGACTGATAATATAAAAATCGGATATTTTCTTTTTGTCTGAAAAATAGGAATTTTATAACGACGCCCATTGGACTAAACCATTGATCTACAATCTTCTTAGAGGATTTTTTTAAAGTCGTTTCAGTTAATAATGGCTTTTTTCTAAACATTTATATTTAGGATTTTAAAACCAACTATGGATTATTCTTTAAAAAATCTTTTTAAAATTTTTATATTTAAAAATTTTATTTGTTCAAGTCTTTTAAAAAAAACATAAAAAAAAAAAAATGTTTCTTTTTTTTTGAAAATTTAAATTTTAATTTTTAAATAATTTTTTTAATTTATCCAAAGGAAAAAATTTTTTTATTTTGCCAAATGCTTAAATCATTGAGAATATAAATTCTAAAATTAAGATTTGTTTTGTAAAATTTTTTAATTTTTTGAAAAAATTTTCAATTTTTTTTTTATCATTTTTAGTTATCATTTCGTTCTGCAAAACCATATAAACACCATGGCTTTTTACCTTGGATTTTAAGAAATTTTTTTTTTTTAAAAATTTTTTTTGTTTTTTCTTTTTTTAAAGTTAAAAAATTTTAATTAATTTTTTAATCATTTTTCAAACCTCATTTTTTTTTTATTCCTGAAAATGAAAAAAGGTTGAAAATGAACGTCATATTTATTTTTTTGATTTATTTTCATTAAATTAAATGATTTGTATTTTTTTCTCCAAATATACTTATTTATTTTTTTAAAATAATTTGTTTTGAAAAAATTTCAAAAGTTTATTTTTTTTCTGTTGGCGTAACCACATAAAATTACTTTCATATCTCTATAAATATTTTTCCTTTTTGTTGGAAAATTTAATTTTTTTTATAAGTTTTCATAATAAAATATTCAAAACAAATATATATATTTTTACATATATTTAAAATATTTTTTAAATATAAATAAATTATTTCAATCATTCTTATATTTTATTCCTTTTTTTTTTGGGGAAGAATAAACTCAAAATACTTTTAGTTTTTTTTTTAAGAAAAATCATTTTTTTTTATTATAAAAACATTGAAAAATTTTCTTTTTTTCATTTTTTTTCTTTTATTTATAAGATTTTTCTAAATATATATTAATATATATATTGATATATTTTTAAATATATATATTATTGTTAAAAAAAAAGGATCAAAAATTAAATTATTTAATTAAATGGCTTTTTTTTAATTTATTTTTTAATCTTACAATATTTGAGAAAAAGATTTTATACTTTAAAAAAAAATGTAAAAATTTTTAAACTTTAAAAAATATTATATAAAAATTTATGTGCTTTCAAATTTGAAATGCTTAATTCAATATAAAACTTAAATTATTAAAAAGTATTTATTTGCATATATATTTAATATATATAAAAATTTTTTGTTGATAATTGAATTTTAATAAATATTTTTACCATATTTTTTTAATTAAAAATTTATTGATTTGAATTATTCGATTTTTTTTATTGAATCAATAAATTTGAAAAGAATTTCGATGAATACAAAAAAATAATAAAAATTATTACATTTGAATCAAATTAATTTTGTATTTATATATTTTAAATATAAATATATTTTTGAAAAACATATAAATAATTAAATTTTTTAAATATTAGATATTTTTATTTTAATATTTATGAATATATATTTAAATATTTAAAATTTAAAAAAATAAAAAAAATTTTTCAATTTCAAATAAAAAAAATATTTTATTTTTTATAAAAATTTTAATTATAATTTTTTATTTTTTTTTTTCAAAAACATTAATTTATTTTTTTTTAAATTTGGAAAAATGTTTGAATAAAAAAAAATTTTAAAAAAGATTTTGATATCAAATTTTTTATTGATATATTATTTAAAATGATTTTTGAAATATTTTCAATATAAAAAAAATAAATAAAAAAAAAATTTGTATATAAATTCTTATTTGGAAAATTTGATATGATTAAAAATTTAAATTTTTGAAAAATGAAAAAAAATTTTTTGTTTTAAAGAAATTAAATTCAAACTAAATCATTAGAAGTGATATTTATAATTTAAAATATTTAAATTTGCTTTATATTTGGAATTTAATAATAAAAAAAAAAATATTTTTTATTTTTTTAAATTTTTAAAATATATTGTATTTAATCAATATATTTAATAAAAATAAAATATATTTAAGATAAAAAATATATATTAAATTATTTTTTATTTTTTTATTTTTCCATTTTTTTAAATTTATTTTAATATATTTTTTCCATATTAAATTTATTTTTATATTATATAATTAAAATTTTGTTTATATTCAAACTTAATATTTTATTTTTATTTTTAATTATAAAATAACAAAATTTTTAATACTACATATTTCACAAAAATAAATTTTTTAAAACATTCAAAATTTGAAAATTTTTTTGAAATTTTAAAATGTCTTTATTTTTAATTGTTTTTTGTTTTTTTAATTATATATATTTAAAAAATAATTTAAATTTAATAAAAAAATTATATACATTTATAAAATTTATTTTATATATATATATATATTTATTATTCTCTAAATATATATATAAATATAATATATTTAGGAAATTTAATCAAAACGGATTTTGAATTGATTTTTGTTTTGTTTTAAAAAAAAAAAACAAATTTTGATTTTTAAAATTTTTTTATTTTTTTTTCAAATATATATTTTTTTTTATTTGTTCATATTTGAAAATATTTTTGAATTCATTTTTTTATATATATAAAAATATTATTGTTTTTATGAAAAATATTTCATTTTTTTTATTTGTATATATTTTATGAATAAATTTCTTTTTAAATTGAAAAATATTTTTTTTCCATCCCAATTTAATTAAAAAAATTAATTTTTTTCATATTTGTATATGTCAAAAATTTTTTACAAAAGACATCCATTTGATGAATGTTCTCTGTTTTTTTTTTTCAAATAAATGAAATTTTATATATTTCCTCAAATATATATCTATTTTAAATAATTGATATTTTATTTTATAATTTTTTTTTTCTATAAAAACAATTATATTTATAAATGCATTTAAAAAATTTAATCCTTTTTTTTATTAAATATATATATATATATTATATATATATATATATATATATATATATATATATATCGGGTGTAACAAAAAAATTGTCCAAATCGTGTAACAGCATAAATTGTCCATCCCAAAAATGTTTAATATCTAAAAACCACTAAACTAAATGAGTTTCTTTTTTCCAGGTTTTCAGATAAGACGTTTAGCCAACTTGACACCATTTGTCCTAAGAATCACTGAAAAACCCTTTGGGTTATTCAGCTAGAAAGAGAACAGGTTAAAATCGTTTTTTCTGCACCACTATCATCCCAAACGAGCAATGGTGAGAGGAAAAAGATCATTCAGGCATTCCGTAATGGTACCAACATTCATACTATGGCTTCCATCTTCAAAGTCCATTCAAGAACCATTAAGAGAACGGTGAATAAGTTTAAAAAAAGAGAGAACAGTAGAGAGGAAAACTGGATCAGGAGGTCATAACAGGAAGAGGGATCATCATTTCAACTTAGAGCTAAAAGAGATCAATTAGAAAAGATCCAACTCAATTCATAAGACGTTTGGCACGTGAGAGAGGAGTTTCAGCTATGACAGTCCAAAGAGCAGTGAAAAAAAAATTGAAAATGAAATCGTACGTGAAAAACCTGTGAGGCACCTTGTTACTCCAGGACAGAAAGTTAGAAGGTTAGAGAGGGCGAAGATCATCTTGAATAAGTTGGAAAATGATCCTGAATATATATATATATATATATATATATATATATATATATATATATATATATATTTCATTTCAATCCTTCATGAGCTTCTGATCCTTAGCTATGATTAATTAATGATGAACATGTCATTTTCGTTTATGATCGATTTCATCAAACGATTCTTCTGTTAAACTTGGAGAATTATACATTCTTATTGCTCAAAGTAGAGTCCAATAGTGTTTATAAAAAACCTCGGAGAATTCCAGTAAGATATCTTTAAGTATTTTAAAAATTACAGCCATTTTATATTAATTATGAGTTGACGTTATAGAAATTCTAATATAACTAGTTTTTTAATCAACAAAATTTAATCGTTCAAAATTTAATCATATTTTTTATAGAAAATATGTTTTATTTTTTAAATTTAAAATAAATGACGAAAGTTTGAAAATATAAATCTCAGATGATTTGACATTTTTTTTGAAATATAAATTTAAAAATGAGAACAAAATGAAGAAATATTTTCTGTTTTCGGCTTGATGATTTAACCAATTCCATTGCTCTTTCCTGTTGTCTGCTGTTTTTAATTAAAGAATTCCTTCTTCTTCTTTCGCTTTGCTTCTATGATTTTCTACCTTAATCAAAATCGTTGTCATTTTCATGGTTTTGAAACCTTAGCTTATTAACTCCTCAGTTTCACATCAAGATGAAAGTTGATCTTAACTTTCAAATAATTGCTTTCCATTCTAAAATGATAAAAATCTTTGAAATCATGGTTGAACTATTCGTCAAATACGCAAAAAAGAAATTTCGATTTTTCTTGATTTTGCTATCCTTTCTGGACGAAGTAGATTATTTACCGCCATTTAATTTCCTTTGCAGACGATAAGCTTTCCTTTAAGTTCTCTAAAGTTTTACATTTAAATATTTTAACATAATCCTGCATGTTCATATATTTATTATACGAAGAAATGCTACTGATTTCAAATATATCTCCGAGTATTCCCATAATACGATATACAGTCAATGTATATATTCCAAAGCTGTTGTTTTTCAGCATTATTTTATAAATTAAACTTGACATTTGTGTTAATTGCCCAATTTGCCACAGGATCTGGAATTGACCATAATACACATAAGAATTTAATGAAAATAGAAATTGAAATAAATTCTCTGACAAATCAAATTGAGAAATATCAGAGCTTCTGCCTAAGATAAAAACATTAAACAAAACAATTTCATTATAAAATATGAAAAAAATTTAAAAATTAAAAATATTTTAATTTAATAAAAAATGAAAACCTTTCTCTTTTTTTTAAATGTGTATCATAAATAAATAAAGCCTTTTTGCTTTGGACTACTTTGAAAAACCATATAAATAGATCTCAACATAAATTGGACCATCTAACTTGAAATTAATACTTACACTTCTCTCGAATTAAAGAACAAAAAATAGAGAATTGAAAATTTTTTTATGAATTCCGACATGAAAAAGTGATTGTGTTATAACGAGAGTTTCCTTCAATCATCACAAGTCATTTCCACCTGTGTTGTTTTCGCCCTGCAAAGAAGTTACCTTACTGTTGCTAAGGCAATGAATTTGCAGTCGCTAACAAACTTTGTGACATCTAATTGTCAAACTCTGATTGAGTTTACCAACCGTGTTTGGTTGATTTCGTAGGCGTTTTGTAAAATACAGGATGAGTCAAAAGTAACTGATCAAGAAGATTAATCATTAATTTACATTATTCGAACTATTGACCTCATCTTTGTCGCCATATTTATTACAGCGTTTCAGCCGTTGTACACTCCGGCTTACTTCAGGTGGTTGGAATGTCGAACTGAACCCTTTATTTCGCTCACTGGGTTAGACCGTTCTAGTTCCACATGCCATGTTTTTAAAAAACTGGGATAGGCGGGTACAAGAGAAGCACAACAACACTCAGAAAACAGTCTGCCTGCCTTATGTGAAGGGGTTATCAGAGAAAAAACTACGGTCCATATAACATCAGGACAACCTTCAAAAGCTTGATGACACTTCACAGATATCTCTCCCGAAAAAGACCCCCCATAGAGGAGTACCTGACTAAAGACAGTGTGTACGCTATCCCGTGCAGCTGCGGAAAGAAATATAAAGAAGAGACAGGCCGCCCCCTTAAGGTAAAGCTTCAAGGACACCAGAAAGCTGTAACACGAGGAGAAGTGAAAAAATCAGGCTTGGCTGACCACAGTCATTTGAGAGAGAAGGGAGATCACAGCCCTCTGTAAGATCAGGTTGAAATCATAGACAAAGAACATCATTGGAAAATTCGTAAACTTGAGGAATCAGCACATATGCTAGGCCACAAAAATCTCCTGAGCCGACCAAGCATAGAAATGAATACAATATAAATTACTTTAATAAAAGTGCCAGAAAAAAGTTAATTAATAACAACAAAAATTTCAATATGAGCTCTGATCAATAACATGCATGATAACAGCAAAAATTGCAATAACAGCTCTGGTAAAAACGGTTGCTGAAGACATTAGTTTTATAATACCCAGAAATTCATACACAGATATCCGAGAGACGTTAGTTAGATTCAGTGACAGGACGCAAAGAGTGTGAGTTCAATACTCAACTAAGACAGTGGAGAACTTTCAGAGGGGAAATTAACAGATAACTGATAACTGACATCCATTAAAAACAGGGTACGTGGAACTAGAACAGTCTACCCCAGTAAGCGAAATAAAGGGTTCAGTTCGACATTGCAACTACCTGAAGAAGGCCAGAGCGTACAACGTCCGAAACGGTGTGATAAATGGGGCAAGAAAGATGAGGACAATAGTCCGAATAATGTAAATAGTGTACATAATACCTCATCTCAGAAATAGACAGATACTGAAGGGCCGATATGTTGTAATAAATATGGCGAAGGAGATGAGGACAATAGTCCGAATAATATAAATAATGTACATAATACCTCATCTCAGAAATATAGACAGATAGTGAAAGGCCGAAACGTTGTAATAAATATGGCGACAAAGATGAGGACAATAGTTTTCCTAATGTAAATAGTGTACATAATACCTCATCTCAAAATATAGACAGATACTGAAAGGCCGAAACGTTGTAATAAATATGGCGACAAAGATGAGGACAATAGTCCGAATAATGTAAATAGTGTACATAATACCTCATCTCAAAATATAGACAGATACTGAAGGGCCGAAACGTTGTAATAAATATGGCGACAAAGATGAGGACAATAGTCCGAATAATGTAAATATTGTACATAATACCTCATCTCCAGAAATAGACAGATACTGAAGGGGCCGAAACGTTATGTAAAAATATGGCGACAAAGATGAGGACAATAGTCCGAATAATGTAAATATTTATAATACCTCATCTCATTTTTATGTATTCATCTTACTGAAGGGCCCTAAACGTTGTAATAAATATGGCGACAAAGATGAGGACAATAATCTGAATAATGTAAATAGTGTATCTTACCTCATCTCAGAAATATAGACAGATACTAAGAAGATTTATCATTAATTTACCAACATGACTTTCGTTCACTACTTTTAACTCAGCCTGTATGATAAGAAATGATTTTCTTTTTCAATTCATGTGAAATTGCTGGTTTTATTCTCTTGTTTTAGTGGTCGTCTGAAGTTTCACCGGTTTTCATTCCCATTGTGGATGGCTATTACCTTCCGGATATTCCGGAAAAACTGATGCGGAATCATCCTGTAAACGCCCACCAGTTTATGACAGGAACGACAAGAGACGAAGGTGCAAGTGCGGGTAGGTATTGTCAAGGTGGGGCTGAATTTGACCTTCGATTCCATACACACCTCTTCCCGTTTCTCGTCGTGGTGTTCCAGTGACCATGTCCATGGTCGAGAAGAAATATCGCACGACAGAGGGAGGGTTGGATTCATGCCTTTCTCAAGGCCATTGCCGCGAAAGAGTCATCACAATTGTGATTAGATTTGAACTCAGTTTACTGATTTCTATTTCATCAATGGCGTCCCCTTAAGGGAGGAAAAATCTTTTACTCTCTACAAGGTGTTTACAGATTTATTAAGTTGTTACTTCTCTTCAAAAAATACTAAGTACATCAGAGAATAAATTTCGTTCATGCTCGCATCATTAATTTTTTTTTTTTAATTCGACTCTGAAAATAGCCGGCATTTAAAAAAAAAATGTATGTGTTCCCCGAAAGGCGCACATCGACTATGATTTCGATTTTAACTAACATTGAACGATGTTGCAAAAGAGAAAAGATCTGTATACCAAATGTCAACAGCAACTCCAGATTGTTCTCTTTTTGAAAGCTGACAACAAAATGTCACTTGATTTTCAATCTGTGACAAAATTCCTTCGATGTTTAAATCAGTTTCTTAATGAGGCTTTTATTAGTCATGCCCACTTTTATTCACCGTCTTTTTTGCTCGAAACATCATTTCTTAATCTCTACCATGTTTATTTTGATTTTATAGATTTTGTGCAATCATTATGCAAGGGAGGTAAGCGAAAAGGGAAGAAACGTCGCATTAACTGGCTTACAAAGAGTTTAGATGGCTGTCATCGATGGCCGGGTAGGTGTTGGCTAATGTTAAGGCGAGGTGTTTGGAACTGGTCGTAACAACTTGAAACCCAAGCAGGTAATACCTCCCCTGATGTCACCCCTACGCCAACCTACCCATAGACACAACGTCACTTTGATTATTATTATTATTATTATTATTATTATTATTTTTTTTTTTTTTTTCTGGTGTATACAATATTTCTTTCCGGCCCCCAGCGACCGAAGGTCAGAAATGGCATATTACTACTACTATTATTATTATTATTATTATTATTATTATTATTATTATTATTATTATTATCTTCTGTCGGCAATTAACAGGGTCTGCTTGGGTTTGAATTTAGTGGCGTCCACTTCTAAATCTCTGTTTTAGCTTCGTGGGCCTTCACTGAGCCGGCCTGTTGCTATAGAAATGATTTCATTACTTATATTAATCAGGCTTCAGTGAATCGGACTGAGATTTCAAATCGTTCTTACATGTTCTGTTTGTCCTTTAAATGTTCCACACATTTTGACTGATTTTTCATCCCTACCATTTTGCAGTATATTTGATGTTATTTCCTTTATTTTTTCTGAAATTGTTGGGATAAAAAGGGAAAGATTATGAAACACGTCCTTAAATGTATGGAATAATGAAAATAATTCCTGTCAAATTGAATTGACTGAATGATCAATTTGTTAATACTTCTTTTAAATAACGCTGTCTGTATTTCAAACGCGCACCAATGTCTGGACTACAAAGGTAAGTATACGTGACGGCTAAATATGTCCAAGTCACAAAAATATATTGCAATAAAAAGACTAAATTTTGGATGTGAACGGAAATCAAAATAAACAGAACAGAAATCACTGAAAGTGGATTTGATTTGCTGCATAAAAAGCTGCTTCGCTGATGTGCATGTTATATGCGACATGTTTTCATTAATTTCAACGATTTTAACCTTAGAAATAAGGTGACGTCTGATCGGCACATATTTAACAAAATTGACCTCAATTTTATTACAAAGTCATTTTAGATATGAAGTCTTCTTCCTTTTAAAATCTTGATTACTGTTCTTTTCGCTGTAATATTTTTTTTTTATAATTCTGTTAAAGTGTTAATAATTGGAAATGAATTTGGCAGAATTCTGCAACTTTACTCAAAACTGTAGAAAATGCTGTCAATTTAATTTGAACGTGACAATTGGTTTTTCCTTAAGGGCGGGTGAAATTGGCAATTAATTAATGATTGACATAAAAGTGAGTGGACTGGACATTGCCCAAACACATAAGTGTAAATACACTAAGGTATATATGGGTGTATGCATTTATGTGTGTATGTTCAGCAAATGGGTTTGTTAGCGTTTGATTGGGTAGCGGTTTTCACTTAAAAACGTTTAATAAATTATTGATTTTTCTCCTTTTTGCATATGGATTATATATATATATATATATATATATATATATATATATATATATATATATCCAAGTACATGATTGGTGTATACGGAATAAATTCCAATAACCAACAATTACTATTCTTAAAAGAATTTTTGTATTTTTGTAGTGATTTTATAACATATTTATGTTATAATTTTTAAATATATATATATATATATATATATATATATATATATATATATATATATATATATATTTCAGTTGCATAGTATTAGTTTATAATTTTCGATCATTAAACTCCTGATTTATCTGAATATGTTAGCTCTATCGCAGATATTGGGCACTTTCTACTTAGTACCGCGAATATATATATATATATATATATATATATAATCTTTAATTGACGGTCTTATATACCTTGATTCTTCTTTTCCACTTAACTCAAAAAGTTTGATGATACAAAAGAATTTAAATTATGAATTAAAATAATTTTCATTATTTATTAAAATTTGATTATGGACAATTAAAACTGCGCTAAATAATATTTTGAACAAGATTAAATAAAATCTTAATCCAGAAATGTCTAGCTATCAAGATTAAGTAAAACCTTAATCCAGAAATGTCTTGTCATCAAGATTAGATAAAATCTTAATCCAGAAATGTCTGGGCATCAAGATTAAATAAAATCTTAATCCAGAAATGTCTTGCCCTCAAGATTAAATAAAACCTTAATCCAGAAAGGTCTCGTCATCGAGATTAAATGAAACCTTAATCCAGAAATGTCGCAGTATCCGGATTAAATAAAACCTTAATCTAGAAATGCTTCACCTGCAAGATTAAATAAAACCTTAATACAGAAATATCTCGCCATCAAAATTAAGTAAAACTTTAATAAAAAAAATGCCTCACAATCAAGATTACATAAAACTTTAATCCAGAAATGTTTCACCATCAAGAGCATTATCTTTATTTAATTCTAGTTGTAAATTTATTTATCTATTTCTCCAAAAATCAAATTTAAAGAACAGAGAAAGACACCCTTTCCTCTATGAACATTGCAAAAAGAAACTTATATTTTCATGAAACTATTTTTAAACACACAAAGTATTGAATTTTCTTGTGTTTGATTGTCTTTTGATCACTTCAATCTTCACTTGTTTCATATTTTAAAGACAGAAGTTTTTATCTTGCTAAAAATTTCAGATCTGTTACTTATTAAATGATAAATAAATGAACGTTTGTCTTGCTATCTACGATATGTACGTATGTATACGTATATGTGTTTGTTTGTGTATATATGATTGTGAATGGTGGTGTGTGTATGCGAGTGTCCGCGCGTTTTTTGTTTTTTTTTTTGTTTTTGTTTTTTTAACATTTTTTTTTCTTTCTTTCTCTCAATATATTTTATTTACTTGCTTGTTTGTCTGTGTGTGTGTGTGTTTTTGGGTTTTTTTTTCTCGCCCCCCGGGAATGTTTTCCAATCATTCTGTACTGAAGATGGTGCGCCCAACCCCCACACCCCACAAAGAAAAAAAAAATATTAACAACATTTTTGTCTATTTGTTAATAAAGCGTTAACGATGAACAAACGTAAATTTTCGAAATGTTTTCTCTTCATAGAATTTCTTATGATATTTTTCTACCTTTCTTACAGCGGGAAGATTGTTTGGTCCATTGAAACACAATCATGGCTCGACTGAGAAAATTCTCTCGCTTATGAACTGCTTCCGAGGTTTTCTACCAAGCGTCGGGGGAATTGTAGGTGAGCTTATATAATTTGTTTTTGAACAAAAAACTGCCTAGTAGCCAAGATAGTTGCTCATTTGCTATCAGGGCCGGTAAGCTTTCCTTTATTTTTATTAAAAAGCCGGCATATAAGAATACTGATTAATAGCTTGTTGGTTTTATAAGTGCACAAATGTAAAGAGAGGACAATGACTGTCTTTACGCACGCGTCCCGAGAAATGTCGACGTCCCGAAAGAAGGAACATTAATGACCAACATTCTATAAATTCCCTGTTTAAATGGACGCAAGTGGATAATACGTTACCATCTCAGTAGACGAGCAGATCATAAAGAAACAATGTAAGGATAATGGTAACCACAAAAAATAAGATAGATAGATAGATAGATAGATAGATAGATAGATAGATAGATAGATAGATGAATAATATGAACAGAAAAGATAGATAGATAGATAGATATATAGATAGATAGATAGATAGATAGATAGATAGATATATAGATATGAACAGATAGATAGATAGATAGATAGATAGATAGATAGATAGATAGATAGATAGATAGATAGATAGATAGATAGATAGATATGAACAGACCGAGATAGATAGATAGATAGATAGATAGATAGATAGATAGATAGATAGATAGATAGATAGATATGAAAAAAAAAAGAGAAAGATGGGAAGAGAGGAAGACATATTAATAGATGAGAACAGATATAAAATCATGAAAAAAGATTAAAATAAATCCCAACATTTCATTAACAAACAAAACTATATATCTATTAAACCTATTGACATTTCTTTCTCTTTACCTTTTCACTTTGGATATTTTTTTTTTTACCTTTATTCAACAAATGAACAAGAATATTTTCAAGTTAATCTAAAGCTTTATACAATGATCTTTATTCGTAGACACGTTCTTATGAAAATTTCTCTATATGACAAAGTAGAACTCTTATGTATGCTAAACAATTAACATCACCACGTGTCGCTGTTTACATTTATACTCTTTAGAAATAACAACATTCTTTTATCTTCCTACAAATCCAACGAAAACGTCGAAATTTTTAGTCTTTCAATTATATTTTCTGTTCACTTCTTTGTTGAAGCCAAACGCTCGTCTTAAAGAAACGAAGGTGTTCCTTTATATGTCGCTGGTCGATAAAAAGATAATTTGAAAGGCAGAAAACCAGCAAGGTTTTGCGGCCAGCTGTGGCGTTTTATGAAGATTTTGTACAACCAGATGTTAGACAACAAAATAAAAACTGTCTTTATTTTATATTGCCTGATTTTGAAGGATATAAAATTCTTGGATTCCTTTTCAGCTCCCTCTCACTCTCTCTTACACACACACACACTCACTCACTCACTCTCTATCTAGCTATGTCTCTTAATGACCAGCATTCTATAAATTTACTATTTAAATGGACGGAAATGGTTAATGTGTTACCATTTCAGTAAACAAACAGATCATAAAGAGGCAATATATGTATAATTGTCAAAACAAATAGATAGATAGATAGATAGATAGATAGATAGATAGATAGATAGATAGATAGATATGAATAGACTAAGATTAGAAAATACATTTTGGAAAGAAAGAAAAAAAAAGAAAAAGAAAAAAATGAAAAAGAAAAGTAAGAAAGAAAACAAAATACGAATATATAGATAGATAGATAGATAATGAACAAGCTTAGATAGATAGATAGATAGATAGATAGATAGATAGATAGATAGATAGATATGTAGAATATTCTAGACTAAGATTAAAAGAAAAACAACAAAATATAATAGATAGATAGATAGATATATAGATAGATAATAGATAGATAGATAGATAGATAATGAACAAGCTTAGATAGATAGATAGATAGATAGATAGATAGATAGATATGAATAGACTAAGATTAGAAAGAAAGAAAACAACAAAATACGAATAGTTAGATAGATAGATACATAGATAGATAGATAATGAACAAGCTTAGATAGATAGATAGATAGATAGATAGATAGATAGATAGATAGATAGATAGATAGATAGATAGATAGAAATTAACAGCTTGTAATAGAAAGAGAAATTAAAATTTTATGATCTGCACACAAACTCAATGGGAAAATTGATAGGAGACACCGAGTCCTCCAGGGCAGCTGTGCGCCGAAATGCCAAAATAATACTCTAAAATATTAGCTGACCTCTCGACCTGTCTTAGCCGGTCCAGTGTTGTTAAAATATCTGAAATAATAGAACTATTTCCGAACCATACGAAAATCTAATAACCTCCTTAAAAGGAAATACCCCCTCCCCTAACTCTCCAAAATACATAGATACCGTGAGAGCCCATAGGAGGCTCTAGCCTGCCGTCACTCTCAACGGGCCTGGACGTATATATATGTATATTTTCGTATGTATATTTTCGCCTCTTCCAATATGCTCAGATCCTTTTCTTCCTGGAACACATCATATTCCTATGTGTCGCCATTCAATCTTTTATTTTATTCGACTTACTGAAATAAAAATCTCGACAATTTTCCCCTAATCTATTCTCTATTCAAAGATTCTTCCTGGTTGTGACATTCCATATACACACCTTACTGGATTATCCATTATCACAAGTTAAAACCCACGGATCTATCAATGAGAACTTCACAGATGAATCATAGAATAATTGCGATCCTGTGTAACGTAGGACTCTTGTGTATCCTAAACAATTAACATCGTCACGTGACTCTCTTTACATTTAATCTCTTTAGAAAAAACATTTATTTTTTTTATCTTCCTACAAATCCAACGAAAACGTCGAAATTTTAGTCTTTCAATTATTATTTTCTGTTCACTTCTTTGTTGAAGCCAAACGCTCGTCTTAAAAAACAAAGGTTTTCCTTTATATGTCGCTGGTCGATAAAAGATAATTTGAAAGACAGAAAACCAGCAAGGTTTTGCGGCCAAACTGTCAAAAATTTTATGAAGATTTTGTACAACCAGATGTTAGACAACAAAATAAAAACTGTCTTTAAATTTTTATTGCCTGATTTTGAAGGATATAAAATTCTTGGATTCCTTTTCAGATCCCCACCTCTCTCTCTCTCTCTCTCTCTCTCTCTCTCTCTCAAGTCTTTCTTTCATTTCGGACACTTATCTCGACTTGAGGATCTAAAATAGCATTTAAAATATATAATACGAACCCATATACGTATGCATGTATATATATATATATAAAAACAATCTGTGTTGTGTGTCTATATATATTCATATATATATATATATTTATATATATTTTGATATGTGTGTGTGTGTGTGTTTTGTAATATTGAAATATATCTATCTATCAAATATGAAATATACATTATATATATAATATATATCTATATATATAGAACCCATATATTATATATATATATATCGTTATATTTATTTTTATTTATATATGTTTATATTTGATTTGTAACCTGTAGTCGATATTAAATTTGTCAAATTTTCTTGGATTCCTTTTCAGCTCTCTCTCTCACTCTCTCTTCTCTCTCCCTCTCTCTAAATTTCTATTTATATGCCCGAATATATATGGATGTTATATATATATATTCTATAAATATATAAATATATTCCACTGGAATAAAAAATAAGATTTTATCTAGATTTATATGTTTATACGAACCCACATACGTGTGCATGTATATATATATATATATATATATATATATATATATATATATATATATATATATATATATTCGTGTTTTGAACATAGAAATATAGGTCCTTGCTAGATTAGATAATCGTTATATTTATTTTTTTATATGTTTATATTTGATTTGTTACCTGTAGTCGATATTAAATTTGTCAAATTTTCTCAATTACAAAGCGGCCCTTTAAGTAAACGCAATTTTACTTTCCTTCGCCCCATCTCTCTCCCCCACCTCGTCTTTCCCTCCCTCTTATTCTAACATTAGATTGTCTATGGTGTGTGTATGTCACCACGAAATGTATCTTTATGCATTAGACATCCGTCAACATTCATTTTTCTCTTACTTAAAACCCTTCCACTCACCTCTCCTAAAATTCTCTCTGTTAAGGTTTAATCTCCCTCCTCCTCATACTTACACTCTCTCTAAATTCTGTTTTTATTTTCGGAGATTTTTTTCTGTTTTCTTTTTGAATTTGTAGGTCTGATGAATTGGATCGTATTTACGATTCCAATGGAATAAATTATGACCATGGAATATTAGTGTTTAAGCCTTTTTATTATATCCTTTCACTGTCCTGGACATTGAGTTCTACCTGGATTCTATCCTCTTGGAATTTTTATTCAATTCAAAAAATATACATGTATGGGTATTTATATATTTTGCATATGTATGTATATTTACCACTAATATTATATATATATATATATATATATATATATATATATATATATATATATATATATATATATGACTCTCCTGTCGAGATTCGACGTATGAGGGTCAAGCAGATCAGTTTCCAGGAAACCGACAGCCCGACACCGGCACATGAGATTTGATTATAGTGGTGAAGGCCTCGTGCAGGACCATCCACACTTTTGAAGGGACGAATAGAGAGATTGGTGCACCGAATGCCACAAGGTTCCCAAACGACCCTCCGCAGGTTTTGAATTCAGAGTTGTCCTTCTCCTAGACCAGTTGCCATCCAAGGCTATAGAACCCAGTCTGTCCTGCTATTTTACCCATAGCTGGAGGGAGAGGAAGAGGATTCATACCTTTCCATTAGAACCCATTTAAACACAAACTTGCCACACCATTAGAAACATACTAGTAGAAAACACAAATATAATAACTTCATCCACCTGTAAAAAAGATTCAAAATAATGGAAGCTTTAATAATAGAAAAGAAAAAAACAACTCTTAACAATATTAACTACGAACAAGGCCACAATGTGCTAACCGTATTCGGAAATTAAAATCATCTGTATAACACACTAAAACAAACACATAATGCACACACTCAATTAAGCTGAAAAATCGAATCATCCTTGATAATGGCTAAAGATATAG